CATTCTCAAGAGATGGTTGACCTGGAGCGTTTCTGATCAGGAGTCAGAAGCCTTGGCCTTGTCCAGTTCATTCCTCAGAATGTTCTAAACTCTCTAAAGACAGATGTCGACTGTACTGGCTATGTAACGCGTTGTGAGTCACAGATCGTCTATCATCATATCATGTATTTGAGCAGCATTTTCCGAAGCGGTAGGAGCTGAAGGTCCTCCATCTTTGATCATCCGCGAGGCTCTCTCATCCTCTCGTGAACTCCGCTGCCCACCTCTTAGCAGTGCAAAGAAAGGAGCATCATCCCCTTAGGTTGACATGGATGGATGATGGAGTTCGAAAGACTTCAACAATTTTGCCAGGTTCATCAACAGAGAATACCTAGTCATTTTAATGACTACAGAATCATACCACCTGGTTCTACATTTGGTTCAAATGCAGCCTGTAACGTGGACAGTAGCATACTTAATTATTACATGCAAAATGTTAGAGTATACTGTACACCCTCTGTAGCTCAGAACCTTTCAATCATGATATATTTCCGTTATATTAAAGTAAAAACCTTACAGTCACCCCAGAACGATATATTTCCGTTATATTAGAGTAAAAACCTTACAGTCACCCCAGAACGATATATTTCCGTTATATTAGTGTAAAAACCTTTCAGTCACCCCAGTATGATATATTTCCATTATATTGGAGTAAAAATCTTACAGTCACCCCTCGTATGCTATATTTTCAGTATATTACAGTAAAATCGGTGTTAAAAGATCGACATCAAACAAACACACGAACGAGAGAAGTTCGGTATCAAGCTATTGCTAAGTGGGATGTGACGACAAACGAAATCTATGGTTGAGAATGGATTCAGGGTATTTATCAGACATAATACATTGGGTACTTGTGGATTTCAGGACATGTGGTTGGCAAATCCGGTTGTCTTTTTGTCTGACCAAAAGACGTTAAAAGATGGTACATGTTGTTACCCTGTTTGGCGCTCAGTATTAAGGGACTAAAACAAGGACTGGTCGGCTCGGAGTCAGTGTACTGTGTCTGAGTGGGGTATTCATGTTAAACTGCGGCATGGTATCTCAGTGGGCTAGCACTATAAATCGGCATTAGTCCGGACTAGTAGAAGCAGCCACACACACACGTGCATGCACGTCGCTATATAAGTGCAATACTCTTGGACGCGACGTTAAACCCAATTTCACCTCACCTCACCTGAAAAAAAATATACCGAAAACAATCTATAATAGTTTAGCAAATACATTCTTTAATTTCAGAAAATAAATATACTCTCGGGGTTCCTTTCAAAAATAGGATTCATTTAAGTGACTTAATGTTAGTCTGCTATGCTAAGTTGTGTACTCAAAGGCTTAAAGACACGTACATACAAAAAGTGGAATTCTTTGTTAGCTTTATCGTCAAAATGTCGTACTTTAGTTTGTTTAAAACACATTTTATAACTGCAGAATATCTTTTGAAACCACTCTTGTACAAATATAGTACATTTACTCGATTCTGATGCTCATCACATGAATTAAATATTGAAACGGGAAGCTATTCAAAAATCCAAAAGTGATTATGTAGAATGTGTAGTTTACAGCTGATAGAGGACGAGTACCATTTTGTTCTCATTTATCCATTTTATCACAATTTACAAATGTTCATACCTACATCCGTCAATCTATCAATTTCCAAATATAATTAAGATTAATTAATTAATGTCTTCTATAAATATTAATGTACTGAAGCCCGTGACTGCGTATGTATTCCATGCAATGAATTTTAGAAATGATAAGATGAGTGACTTGAACAAGTTGAAATCAATATGTCCTCCCACTATCCACAGAGATATGTAACTCTAGGCCCATGGCCTTTCAGTATTTCTGTAATAAAGAATAAAGCTTGATTAGTCCGATATGTGCCCATGATTCGTTTAACCGGAAAAAATGTTAATCAGGACAGTTTCACTTGGGTGAGATGAAGTGAGGCGTCGAATCGACGGTTATTGCCGACTTTATAGTGCTAGCCCACTGAGATACCATTCCTCAGTTTACCATGAATACCCATCTCAGACACAGTATACTGACTCCGAGCCGACCAGTCCTTGTTTAGCCCCTTAAAGCCGAGCGTCAGGCAGGGTAACGACAAGTACCATCTTGATACGTATTTGGGTATGACGCGACCGGGGATCGAACCCCCCGAGTTTCTGCTCTGCGGGCGGACGCTCTTTCACTAGACCAGGGAGGTTTCACTAAGAACAGTAGTCCAGGTTAACGGAGTTTCACTGTAGGACTAATGTTTGCTTGATTGTTTGTTGTTTAACGCCACACTCAGCAATATTCCAGCTTTATGACGGCGGTCTGTAAATAATCGAGTCTGGACCAGACAATCCAGTGATTGATGTCATGAGCTTCGATCCGCGCATCAACCAAGTCAGCGAGCCTGACCACCCGATCCCGTTAGTCTAATGAACAATTTCGGGAGATAAACATGCTCTGGATTAATGCAAGCATATAACGGTGTGATAATAGGTTTGTGACATTATATTGTGGTCACGAAACGGCTCAAACAATGCCGGTGCGGCTTTAAAAGGGTAGCATAAGGGCCCTTTTTGGCCAACTGAGTACGTCAAATTTCAAAGCTACGGAACACTTTGAAATATTGGAATTAATATTATCAGACATGTTCAAATAGCTGACAACTAACCTTTTCGTTTGCTAACACTTGCAAGTTTTGGACTTCTGACAAGATCAAATACAGTTAGTATGGCTAAAAGAGTGGACAACGTCGATTTTTATAACTTCAATGCAAAATCTAAATATGAGCTAGTCCGTGGCGGAAGATGAATTTTTGTACCTTATGTTTGTACTGTTTTTATCTAAATATCAGAAAACAGCTTGGATCAAACACATGTTCGTGTTCAAATATTCGAAAAACGCCTCTGAAAACATGAAATAAGTCGTTTTGACATGTTGGACGTTTCCTTTGTGTTCAGCGTCGTCATTTATATGTCCTAAACACGGAATGGTTAAAATGAACAAAGTCAAGTTCTCATTCATAGGAACACATCTGACAACTTTCACAATTTATAAACATTTTGCTTAATTCTGAAAAAAACCCCGCAAATCCTGTTTCCCAAAAGGGTCCTTAGTCTATCTTTTCCTTTAACTCACTCACACCATAGACTGGTAATTGTCACGGAATGAGGTGGCCCAGTAGTCTTAAGCTCCAGGGGCGGTGTGGTAGCCTAGTAGTTAAAGCGTTCGCTCGTCACGCCGAAGACCCGGGTTTGATTCCCGACATGGGTACAATGTGTGAAGCCCATTTCTGGTGTCCCCCACCGTGATATTGCTGGAATATTGCTAAAAGCGGCGTAAAACCATACTCACTCACTCACTTAAGCTCCGCAACGCACTACTGGGGCTGTATGTCGTAGCTGCACGAGGATACGTTGGGGATGGGGTAGGATGGTGAGGTAGGGTCAGGGCTTGAGATGTGGTGGGTTTGGGGTAATGTGTTTTGTTGTTTGTTGTTTAACGCCACACTCAGCAATATTCCTGCTATATGGAGGCGGTCTGTAAAATAATCGAGTCTGGACCAGACAATCCAGTGATTGACATGAGCATCGATCCACGCAGTCGGGATACGATGACATACATCAACTACATCAGCAAGCCTGACCACTCGATCTCCTAGTCGCCTCTTACGAGAAGCATAGTCGCCTTTTACGGCAAGCATGGGTTGGTGAAGATCCGGATATTCACGAGTCGATTGGGGTGATCGGATGGCGGTAGGGTGCCAACAGTGAGTGGGTTAAAATTGTAAGTCACGTCGGGAGTATTTCAGCCATTGTGTGACTGGGGCATGAAAGGACAGTAGAACTATTATATCACAGATATTAGTTGGAGAATATTGATAGCATGTGCCTTTGCTAACACGCTACCGAGACACAGCATTGACAGACCGCTATCCCACTGTGTCCTTGAGCCGCGTGTTAGCAGGTGCGTAGGTGGGTGAGATGGCTTATCAATGATAGCACTTAAAATGTGACCTTCACCAAATATATGATAATCCATCTTGTTCACAATTCCACACACCAACACACATATTTGCACACAGATCATTAAAATGTAAACAATTTTAAAAATCTTTTCAGTAAAATTATGTGACCACCGCCGACCCACCCCCACGCACATATTTTTTGAAAGTTTGTTGTTTAACGCCGCACTCAGCAATATTCCAGCTATATGACATTTTTTAAAAAGTAAAATGAAAGAAATTTAAATGAAAGTTTCTTAATATATATTTTTAAAAATTCTTACAGTTAAGTATACTGTGACTTCAACAGAGACTAATGTTTCATAGTTACCCTCGGACACCCTTTTTTAACTCTCCATTTGTCGTAATATCACAATTACTGTGACTATTATGCTTAACAGTTACCGATATCCGCACAATCTATCACATAACAGTTATCTTCAATACATGTTTCTACGGCGACAAGGCGTTCTACAGGCCCAGATAGGCCATTTAAGTAGACGGTTATACTATTATGTATGTATACCGTTATTGTGGCTGTACGCGTATTCCTTACTGGTATAACACTAACATCCACTCTTGCCGTTATCATCCCTGCATGTGTAATTGAGATGAAGCGCCCCACATCTATCGACCTGCTATCTGCTGGACCAGGCTGTCTATAATTTCACAGCAAAAGCAGATGGTGAATTTCTCTGATTTTTTAGTGTTCCAGCACTATCAGCGAATCAGTTGAGAAACAATTGTTTAGCGAGTTTTCTTCGCCCCGGCAGCAGCTGAGCTACGGAGTGTGTGCCTGCACTCCAGTGCATTCAGATAGGTAATACTGTTATTTGAGAGCGTTCCCATTTCCCTGAGGGTGGAAAGTACCTTATACACGCTTCACCGCTGTTATAGAATGACACAACCTTCCAAATCTACTGACAGAGCGTTAACTGGACAAGAAGCCTCTGTTATCTAGTCGACCCATTCTTACTGTGCCGGCAGACAACACACAGCGTTCACCTAGCCCAGCGAATAACCCCCTCTTGATCAACCTCCCTCTTTCTCCACCGTGAATGGTGTCGTCCAAACTGAACCGCGAACTTTCATTGGGGCTCACATGCGATCGGAAGTGTCGGCTCTACGAGCAGACGACAGACTCCAAATCACAGAGGCAGTTACAATGTTAACTCGTTGTGTGGACAAGCCGAAGACACAGGCTTTAACCCGGTGAAAATTGGAGAAAATCAGCGAAATCTTGTGTGTGATTGTGTGCAATCTTTTCAGCCTGGATCGTGGCTGTCGACTGGAGTACTGTATGACGCGATGATGCCACCACAACATTTTGGAGTCTCTACATGTTCACTGCTCCTTCAAACCCTAGCATTTATCGTCTTGCTGCAGTTCAGTGTTGCAAGTCAATCGCCTGTCTTCTATGATAAACGCCAAGGTAGGTGCAAGGAAATCGCTCGAGCGCGTCCACACCTTATCGTCTGCTTTCTAAGCCGCTGGTGAAAAAACCCCACGACCGGCGTTCCCTCTGTACCCCCGAAATGTTTCTACTGGGTTAAACAAGCCAGATTTAAAACTGCTGTGTAAACTTGTCCCCCTAGTGTTGGGAACTATCCCTCCCAGGACTGTTTTCTCATCTGTCCATATTTTCATACTGATAAAATTACAACCACACATATTTTCTTAAGTTTTAAATTGGTTGAAGACTGGCCACTTTTCGTCTCAAATTTATAGTCCACAGTCCCTCGTCCTGATAACATCAGAAATCTCAACTGAACCACAAAACGTGGCTAAAAAAACAACCGGGTAATAAATATGCTGACAATAACATTATCAACTGGAGGGATTTTGAGTAAACTCACATAAATATAAGGCTCCCTTCGATGAAACGTGTCATGTATTTAAGAGGGTGTATTTATTTCATGATAAAACATTTAGAACAAAATCTACACCGATAAAGTTAGCAAATTTAAATTTTATGTGTGCAGTAATTAAAGCTTTAATTCAGTTTTACTATACCGTGGCATAAGTTTTATAGGTTGTGCACTTGTTTCAACTCTTATCTAAGTTAATGACAGATTATGTATCATCGCCTACATTCGCAAGTATCAATGTTTCGTGATTTCAAACTGTGCTACCTGATCATCGTTAGAAGTAATATTTCCATTTTGTGTAACTTTGTCTAAATATACATATGAAATGTTTGCTAAACAAGAGTCGAGAGTGATGGAACGGATATCGTTTGTAGCTTGCGTCTGTCATATCAAATCTTCGTTCCCTTGTACTTACACCTTGTTACAAGTCATATGATATAATCAACTATCAGAATGTCCGTTATTGTATTCATCAAACGTATTAAATGTATGTAGTTCTTTCAAACATTGGATGTCAGCAGAAACAAGCATATGGGGTTTATGTCTTGATATACTTTCATATTGTTTAATAATTCTCCGCGTTTCCGATTGTTTGTTTACAGTGTGTCAAGTTTGGCTTTGTTGACATCGACAAGCTAGCCTCGCACGAGCCACGAGCTGCACGCGGCTTGCGCTGGGCCGTTTTCACTAGGTGGAGGCAGGCATAGGTCGCTCAATATCTAGCATTGATAACAGCCTGTGGCAGCGAGTCGCGTTAATTGTTAACTAACGACGGCGACTGGAGTAGGCTAGGCAAATCTTACAAATCAAATTGCAGTTTACGAGTGTGTGTTTGTTGAATGTGATCACCAAGCGTTTACATGAATATACACACACTTGATAAACCCTGTTTCCGGAACACTGGCTATAGCATGGTGGTATTGAAGTCTCAGCGTGGTGCCCTCGGCATCGCAAGATTCTGTATGCTCCTGGAGAAATCCCTTTAACAGAAAATTGTTATCATGCTTGGAATAGTGCTATTTGTTTACTGCATCGATGAGCATATAGTGAGTGCATTCATGTACAATGCGATGTCAAGTGGGTGTAAGGTTTCGAATCAGTTTAGGTTTGTTCAGTCGTAATCCATTACGTATGCGGTTATTAGAAAAAAACACATTAAGATTTTATTGCTGTTCTTATTTGACATGAACGCCTTCGAGAGCAGAAGGTCGATCCCTATGGTGCGTCACTAAAAAAATCGCTAAAAAATGGTACTTGCTACGAGGCACTTGGTGAGCCTAGTGGTTAACGGGTTCGCTCGTCACGACGAAGACACGAGTTCGATTCCCCACATTGGTACAGTTTGTAAAACCTATTTCTGGTGTCGGTGTCATGATATTGCTGGAATATTGTAAAAAGCGGTGTTAAGCCATACTCACGCTCTCACTTGTTACACTAGACATGGTAGGCATTTAAGGGATAAAAGAAGGACTGGTCAGCTCGGAGTCTGCATCAACGTTGAACTGCGGCATGGTATATCAGTAGGCTAGCACTGTAAAAAACGGGCATTACTCTGGACAAGTATAAGCACACGTATGTATGCACGTCTCTATGTAGGTTACCCGTGAAGATCCGGGTCAGAATAGGTCTTAAGCAACCCATGCTTGTCGTAAAAGGCGACTATGCTTGTCGTAAGAAACGACTAACGGGATCGGGTGGTCAGGCTCGCTGGCTTGGTTGATACATGTCATCGTATCCCGAATGCGTGGATCGATGCTCATGATGTCAACCACTGGATTGTCTGGTCCAGACTTGATTATTTTACAGACCGCCTTCATATAGCTGGAATATTGCTGAGCGCGGCGTTAAACAACCAACCAACCAACCCTACATAGGTGCAATAATGTTAAACGCTACGTTAAACCCATTTCACCTCTCCTCTCCTCTTATTTGACATGGGTTTTTTTCCAAAAAAAGAGAGAAGTAATGCATTCACTTAAGCGTGAAAATTGATGGAGAGAGAAAGTAATTTTTAGACAGGTGTTTCGTATGAAAATTACTTTCTATTTATCAAAACTATAAATTGGAACTTGGAATTTGTTCTCTCTGACCCTGTCATCCATCAAGAAGCTACCTCTTTAAATGTATTTTTTGTGAAGGTGGGGTGAGAGGTGGTGGTTGATAGTTTTCGCCTCTTTTCACGACAGACTTCGGTGATTAATGTCGGTACTGGTTGAACTGTCTTACGTCTTTGTTACGTACATATTAAGATCCGGGCTAGAAAAGCAACCATACTTGTCATAAGATGCGACTATGTTTGCCGTAAGAGGCGACTAACGGCATCGAGGGGTCAGGCTCGATGGCTTGGTTGATGCATATCATCGTATCCCAATTGCATAGATCGATGCCCTTGATATCAATCACCGGATTGTCTGGTCCAGACTCGATTTGTTACAGAACCCGTCATCTAGCTGGAATATTACCGAGTGCCATCAAACAAACAAACCCCCAAAACGTACATATGACTCTGCGTAACCCACACTCCGACACTCTGTACATCGACATTAGTTTAAGTTCTACAAAGATTTTGATATTATTGCATTATTTTTTTTATCCCGACGTTGCATATTATCTGGTTCTTGGTTATGTTAAAATCCTTAGTGAGTAATATTACGAATATTTTTAATCCAACTTATCTTCCTAAACACCGACTCCGTGGTCAAGTGGTAGAGCGTCCGCCCGGAGAGCGGAAGGTTCGAGGTTCGATCCGCGGCCGCGTCATACCAAAAGACGTTAAAAGATGGTACTTGTTGTTACCCTGTCTGGCGCTCGGCTTTAAGGGACTAAAACAAGGACGTGTAGTCTCGGAGTCAGTATACTGTGTCTGACTGGGGTATTCATTCATGTTAAACTGCGGCATGGTATCTCAGTGGGCTAGCACTATAAATCGGCATTAGTCCGGACAAGTACAAGCAGCCACACACATAGATACACACGTGCATGCACGTCGCTATGCAAGTGCTATAATCTTGAACTCCATTTCACCTCACCTATCTTCATAAACCATTGGTAAAGGGGTACTCATAAAGAGGCAGTGGTTCAATTCTTTTATATTTCTAGGACTATATAACTAGGACCTAGTTGCAAGATTCAATATATTATAGTTAATGTGCTTCTTCGCCCTTTTTAGCAATATTCCAGCAACATGATTGCTGAGGACGCCAGAAATTGGCTTAGCACATCATACACACAAGGGGAATCGAACCCGGGCCTTCGGCGTAACGAGCGAACCCTTTTAGACCACTAGGCTACCCGACCGCCCTATAAGGTTCAAGGGTACCTGTTCTGTACAGTAACGGCAATTGTTTAGACAGCAAATTTATTCTGTACCAATGGTGGTAACTTATATATAGGGTACAGGTATACGTGAATAGTATTTGAGTGAGGAAGTGAATGTTGTTTTAGGCCGATGTCCCAGGCATATCACGACAGCCTGTAAATAATCAGGCCTGGACCAGACAAACCAATGGTTGATACTGTAGGCAACGTCCCACTCCGCTGGAGAACGATCCATTCTTGTCGTCTTTTACGACCAACATTGGTTAATTTGGACCAGTTCTATCCTGGATCCCAACAGGGTTAATGGTAGTGGAAGACAAATCGCATCTTCCGTGTTATTTCTATGTCAATAACTTGTTGAACAATCTCACTTTTATGTTAGGCCAGTAGGTAAGTCAACAAACATGAAGATTAAGTGCTGACGTGTTTCATGTAATCAATCATCGACTCTCCATCTTATCCATCTCTAAGTTCGCGTATGCACTCGCTGTCGTTCCAGAGATGTTAACATGGGGAAATTGGACACAAAAGTCTGTAACGATACACGCGACATGTTAAAGATTGGGTGGAGTCAGATATTACATGAAATCCATAAACACGTTTCTTTAAACGTGAGGGGGCACGGATGGCCCAGTCATCTAAGGCGCCGCGATTCGCTGTGCAGAGTTGCGTCCCTTGGGCACGCCAGAAACCTATAATTGTGGGTTCGAATCCCGGTTCGCCCCGATTATGTTTCTAGGTTTGTCAGCACCATACCCGTGCCCGTGGGTTTCACCGAAGTGGTAAACGTCTGAGACCTGCATCACTTCGGGCTTTCCTCCCACATTAAGCTGACACGCCGTGATATAACTGGAATACTATTAAAAGCGGCGTAAAACCCAACTCACTCACACACTCACTCACTAACTCACTCACTTTAAACGTGACACCCACTCCCCGACCCATATCCATCTGTCCAATAAGTATTGTGTGTAGAATACCCATTAATGAAACCTGCAAGCAATAAATATGACCCGAACCACTTTGTTAAATTAGGATTTACGCTGAACTGAAACGTCTTTGAGGCCAGATTCCGTCGTGACAGTATGAATGCGCCATGAAAGCGAACGCCTGTTTAACCAAAGGCCAAATATACTTACGTTGGGATTACATGACAGTGTACACATAATTACTGAACTGACCCTAACGATAAGATTATAAGAGCTAAAGTCAAATGACAGGCCGACAGTCTGGCTAAACAGAACTG